TGGATGACACATTTGTATTCATGCCTCTCTATAGATTCCAATAGATGGTAAGTGGAAGCTTTTAAAAAGTTTGATGAGTAAAGCGGGACCCGGGCGATTCTATAGTCGAACTCAGGTCACGCCGCACCCGTCGTGTCGCGGCGTGTCGCGCGGCGACGCGGCGCGGCAATCCCGGAGTTGCATTACCGTACTCCCGAGTTGTCACTGGAGCAAAGGATTAGCGTTGTTTCACGGCGTCCTCGACCCACATTATGGAAAGATTTGCTAGAGCAATTTCTTTAAATTCCTGTGCAGCAACAACGTAACCATCTACTATTCACTGCTACACTGGTGATATTCGGCGCCATTTTGTGAACCTTTTCTGCTGTATTTTGACGGTTTCTACATTTTTTACCCCGAATTTACATTTTTATATTTTTACTTTTACGTGACCATTCTTGTTGTGCTGTTTTTTCTCAGTTCTGGCATATTTACGAGGGTTGTCATGTAATTTTTCAACATGAACCCCATCGTAGACTGCTAGAATCCAGCACAGCGTCCCTATATTTCCCAATAATTTTCTCTGTCACCGTCATTGTGATCCAGTTTCTATGCCTATACTTGGCATCATTCCTATTGTGCTGTTTTTTCCCCTCGTTCTGGCACATCTACGGGGGTTGTCATGTGATTTTTCAACTTGAGCTCCATCGAGCATTTTCTCGACCTCGCAACAGGACCATGCACAGAAGTTCAAGATGTCACGTAACCGAAAATACAGCATTCCGTCACCCACACAGGGCCGTGTTTGGCGCAACGGACCTGTTTTCCTTTGGTCGTTGCCACTTGCCTCGCTTCAACAATTGGTGGAGAATGGCTGGTGCCGAGCCAGCCAATACCTCTCCTGACACGCCCGCAGCATAAGCAGCAAAAGCAACAGTGCCCTTCTTGACACGTGACACGAACCCGACATTGTGTCCCATGACGTCATCTGCCTCCGATCGCTGCTGAGCTGGAAAACCAGGTTTCCACTTGTAGTTGACCTTGCTTTTTCGAGCCAAATGTCAGCAAGTCGTAGCTGCACTTTCAGGCACAGCCCAATAACAAACTCATTGGGAACCGCGGTGGCAGTGTCTCCCTTGTGGGGTTAAATAAGCGATCGTTGAAAAAACGGTCATATGTTCTACGATAATACAGCATTGAAATACAGCTTTATTCTCACCCACGGAAACAACTTCTCTAAAAACGATGCGAACTAAAAACTGGCTTCAAATGAATAATGGCAAACGTTCTATGAATTATGGCAATTGTTCTCAAAAAGTCAATTGCTAGAATCAGTACCCATAGATGTAGCAGTCAAAAACGGAACCTAGCGATATAACAGTGATGAGAAAAAGGGAAGGCGCTTCTAGATTATACTGAAACAATGGTAGAGAGACGGTTTTGAAGCAAGAAGTTCCACGAAAAGCAAAAACAAGCAAAGCGTACAATCACTTGGATCTTTTTCTGACTGCTGCTAATTTGAGGTTCCGCTTCCTAGAGGCGTTTCATTGCTTTGTTGCTGGTTGTGCTGCAACGTCGGCAGCAGCAACGCGGTCAGATGCCACCTACCTACAATAAGAAATTACTAAGAATTGCACGTGTACTTCTTTCGAAAACCATAGCAAATGTCAAAATATGCAATGTGAGCATACCTAAGCGGCTCCAGAAACTATACTTGGCGTAGGATACGAACCAAAGTCACGTTGCTGCCACCAAGTACTTGAAAAGTTTGTCGACCTTCTTTCTTCCTTGAGAAACTTCTTGGAAGCGTCCATTGCTCAGTCGTTTTCTTAATAATTAAACAAATAAAAAATGTAACGGTGAGAACTGCTGAGTGAAGAGGTATTCTAATTCGAGAAAAGCGATATCACTATTTATTGCAGAAATCATGGTAAATACAGGTGTCATTCACGACACAAAAGGCAGAATATAGAAGAGCTTCACTACTTCTGTTCATATACTGAATAAATAGCCTGAACAGTGTTGTGTGCTGCGGATGATGACGTGTGTCCTGAGGAAAGGGTGTGGCGCAGCGCCGAATTCGCTTTCTACCAGTTGTTGGAACGAGCAAGCAAGAAGCAATCATAGAACGAGCAAGCAAAAAACAATCATGTCCTTAGGGTCAGTCGTATTCCACCGATTGTAGTCGCTTACCCGCTTCAACAAATAGTGGAAAATTGACTTGGCGCCGTGCCAATTCAGCCTCACAGACACGCCTTACCATCCCTAGCGTACACTCAGTACAGTGACTACTGCTAGAGACTAGTATGGACGGCTGACCAACTGAGGAACAGTTCTTGAGTGGGGGGGAGTAGGGGGGACAGGGAACGCTAGCAAAAAAAGGTGTAACAAAAGGAAGTGAAAAACTCACATTTCCAGTAACTAGCAGTGCTGCATCAAGAAACATCAAACATACCAAGAAATATGAAGGGCGCACCAAAAGCGGTGAGATCAACAGCAATTTCTGAAAACATTCAAAAGGCATATACAACCGAAATAATTCCCAAAAAAGTTAGCGGAGTTGAACAGGAAGATAACTTACGCTTGGTACTGCTAACTTCGAAGTTCATCATTTTGTTGATGAATGAAGTTTCGACAACGACAACCGCTCGAAAACTTCTTCAGAATCGTGTTAAGGACGTAATTCAATTGTAAAATGAATTCGGGGATCCTTATTCTGTAAGACAAATAACGCTACTTTCACAGAGGTACACTGTTTTGTTTACAAAGGAATTACGATTATACACAAATTCCCTAGCTCTCAAATTCTGGTACCGGGAAATAATCAAGGAAATGCATATGGCCCTCCTAATTCACTCGACAAAAGTCATGAAATAACGAAAGCGTTAGAACCAATCTCAAACTACTGCAATCACTTATTTGGTATTAGGAATGCATCGGTTGAACGGCCAATCAATTCTACACAAAAGTTTAATTTATGACCAGAGTGCAGTGAGGCAAATATAGCTCCGGAATGTTACGCGCACAAAATAACGTTAGAGATAAAGATGACAGAACCTTTCGCCAACTTGAAGCGGTTAAGAACACCATTCTCATCAGTAGCTTGTTGTCGCAAATCGTCAGCAGGGATCAAACTTATTGCAAGGGTTTGTAAACAATATCAGAATAAAGTTTCACCTAAATATAGAACTGCATAGTGTTGTCGGACCTTTGAGCAGTAACAAAAACGAACACATCTTGTCAACATAAGGTACAAACTGCTGTAGGAAGCGCTTTTCACGGTCTCTGGCAGCATTTGGATTGTGATGGTGCGGAAGAATAGTGCCTGAAATAAAGAAATGAGCACTAGAGAATAAGTAAAGGGATATACATACCTACTGTTAACTAAGTATAGTGTTTGCGGATTTGCTCCCTGAATTCGTTCCATTTTCTGCCTTCTTTAATCAGAACGAAAGTTAGCATAGCGCGTATACCAAATTGCCTACTTATGTCTGAAAATATCATACATCAACTTTATAGAGAAAGTAGCCCAAGAAGATGTCACAACTTTGGAAAGCTGTGAAGAGCTTAGGCGGAACGACTATCAGTATGAAACAGCACTAGGTAATTACAAGTGCAAGAACTTTGTAAAAATTACTATGTTTGAAAACTATTCTCAGGAAATATCCTTTTCGCATAAAGATCTTTTTCACACGATGATTCATCAGATTATGTGTCGCACAAGAACTTCCAGCGATGAAGGTAAAATCGACGAAATCCCCTATTTTTGTGTTCGAATGAGGTGTAACAACAAAAGAGGGTTCCCGATGGAGAACACTGGAAATTTGGGGGCGAACCAAAATGGTTTGAATTCCAAAGGTAACCTCAAGATTAGTCAATAATCATAACAAGAAAATAGGAAAAAGGATAGGAAAGGCATAATAATAAGCAAATACAATCAAAGTCTTTCAAATTGTTAAAGGGATCGTCAACCCTTTAACAATTTGAACGCCACGCAACAAAACTCGTACGCGGCGGCCGCCACGCCGCCTCGCTCCGCCCACCGGCGCGACGACCCACTTATCGTCGACGATAGAATCGCCACACACCCGAAAAAGCCACGACGCGAAGTCGGCGTTGGTCTGGCTGCAGGTAGTGTTTTTCCTCGAAATGGATATCCTGTTCTAAATCAAGAGCATTAATAAACGCGGTGCGTAAGATTGCATCGATTTTGGTATAAAATGTGGTCGCGCCGCACTGGCGTCATTTTTCGCCCTTTTAGCGTGAGCTTCGAATATTGGAGCTATATTGGTAACTCACTATTACACAACAGGAATTAATCAGAATTATCGCTGTTGTTAGCCACTATAATGCTCCACTAAATGAGACGGTTAGCAATCCCCTTCTCCCAGAATAGAGGAAGCAGCGAGTCAAACAAGTCGGTGACCTCTCGGCTGATGTCATCAAACTTGCTGACAGTTTTCTTGGCTAAGAAAGCCTTGAGAAGGCGAAACAGGTAGTAAACGTAGGGGCCCATACCAGGAGAATATGTTATGCGGGGTGGTCTCTCAGCCTTGTTCCAAAATTTTTCGGTTGGTCTCCATAGCAGTGTGGGGTCTCGCGTCATCACGGAAGAGGTTCCTCGGAGCTAGTTTTGGTAATTTTTCTCCAATACTTTCCACGGATTTCTGGGATTGAGTGGCGTAGATGGTAGCGGTGGCCTTGCGTTCTTTCGGGGTAGCGCGTTCTCTAGCATTCCCGTCGCGTCCCAGAAGCAGCACAGGAGAACATTTCAGACTACATGGCCGGTTTGACCTGCTATGATGGTTCCTCCTCGAGATAGTACGCGGTACGTGGAATTGTGAAATCGTAGATAGCCATTTCCTTCACCGACTCGCCAGTTCCAGAAACTTTTTGATCCAGACCGAGACGAGGGAAGACGAGACTTACCAATGAGCACCCGGATGTATCGCGCGTCATTTCGTGATTCATCGAGCCGCTACTTCTTGGCAGCCGGATCTTAACAGGCGCTTGACGACTGTCAGTTAGAAATCCAAGTCTTGTCGCAAGTCTGCAGGTGACAGCCTCCAGATTCTTTGTCAGCTTCAAGTACGACTGAATTTTCCACTTCATGGAGGTCCTCCACTGAGGTTTATCTTCGAAGATCGTGTCTACTTTAGCTAAGGAGGCGAAAGCGGTGGAAAATCCCTGGGACTGTGTCCTAGTAAGGCATGGTGATGTGCGAACAGTTGCCATTCGCTTCCAGTGTATGGTGTCTCAGCTAATGCATGGGTTGATGTTGGAACAGTTTGCCATCGCTCCAGTGTTCTGAGCCGCACTCATAGAGATGAGTACATCAGAAGCTGTTCTGACATCTGTGATTAAACCTGAGGGAGAGCAAGAGGCCTTTATGCATCTCTTGCGAGAAGCTTTCGAGGAGTTCCAAGCATTAGATTTGAGTCATGCTCGGTCATGCTCGAGCATCGAGTATCAAAAGCTTCAAGCTATTCAAAAGACAGTGACAGGACTTTCTTTCCAATATTTTGCCTCGGGAGACCTCAGAAAGTACCGACACGGCACCTGTTTGGCGACGGAAGGGGACGGGCATTTTGCACTTAAAACGGCCTTCCCATCGACGTGTCGACCCATCTAGACAGCCTCTTCTCGAGTTGACAGGTTTTACCATGATGGCTTGACGAGCTTGCTCCAGCTTCACAAGAGTTCACAGGTTTCACCAGAGTGAGACTTGTAAACCAGAACTAGTGAAGCAACGAAAGTGCAAAATGCCCCCCCCCCTCCCTCCCCCCGTCGGCAAACTGCGCCTACCGACATCTTAAATCATCGAACAATGTCAAATAAAATTGAAGAAGCGTGCTGCACCACTTGTAGCACAGTACGTGATGGCTTAAAAAAAGTCGCGTCATCGCCCCGTCGCTCTCTTTTGATCCATCAGAAAACGGCGAAATTTGAACTGAAGATATAGAGAACCTTGGTCTCATCGTTGACCCTAAGGTTCTCTATATATTCAATCTGGCGATGGTGAGCCTTGGCAAGTCGGTGAAGCCGTTCTTCTTTGCGTGAATCCAGCCCGTTGCTGACATCTTTGCATGGGGGGGGGGCTTTTGCAGCGGCCACAGTCTTCTTCGCTGCACTCTTCGCTTCTTTATACTTCCGCCAGTAATCAGCTGAATAAACCTCAAAGAACACGTGGTAGTGCCTCTGCTTCTAATCGTATCTTTGACCTGACTACCCAGATCACGGCTGCTTATCAGTTCTACGCCTCCTGGGTTTCGTTA